AATATTTATAATTGTACTAAAATCAACCTAAAACATTGTCAATATACCTAAGGGTGACCTTTTAAATTAATTGAGATAATAAAACCGAAGTTGTTGATTTTACAGTGAAGATAATATCTCTCCAACGAAAAAGCACCCACCCCCCACGTTCACCGCAAAAAACCTCCTCTCATCAATTTCCCCTTACTACTTCAATGGCGAAGACAAAAGTCCCTCTCTATACTCGATCGGGTTGCCAGAAGCCGAAAAAACCATCACAGAGACCCCGTTAAGCAGCAGCACTCTCTATCGGCCTTCGTTCAGCGGCCGAACAGTAGCGGCAGCCCCGTCATCTTTCGTCGGCGGTCTCCGAAACAGCACTCCCCGTAGAAATTTTTAAACGAGCAGCAACCGACCCTTTTCAGCGAGCAGTGGTCAACTCTTTTTCGATGGACCCCAGCCATTTGTTGTGCCAGCACCTCGAGCGACTGTCCGAACTGGAGCAGCGGCACTTTCGACCCTCGTCGGTACTTCCTCGGGTTTTTTTTCGAGCTGCCCATATGTGTGAAGCGAACCCAAAAGAGTAGCGGCCTTTTTCCTTTTTCCTCTTTCCGACGGGTTTATGTTAATTCTGATTTTTTTATGCGGGAGTTCAATTAGGGCTTGAGTGGTGGATTAATTGGGAGTTTTTCCGCGCATATGAAGATGGATAAGAAATTTGAGGCTCGAGTAATGTGGATTAATTTCGACGCCAGGAGTTATTTTTAGTATATGTTCGGTATACATATATAAACCCAGAAAATTGGAGTTATACTCAGTATATATTCTGTATATGTTCAGTATACATATGTTCAATATATGTTCGCCTGGATCTAGTGTTATTTTTCAATATATGTTCTATATTCATATGTTTGTTATACGTTCGGCTCGATTATTTGTGCATTTTACAAGTTTTATATGTTGGATGATTATCCCAATATTCATTTTATGTAAGACGTGAAAGGTTTTCACGAGAAAAACGCATCAAAACTAAATCCCCGTTTATTTGTTATGCGAGATCTGAAGTGTTATTAAAATTCTTTCCATGTTTAAGTTTTTTTTTTATGAATATGAGTTACCTAAAAAAATGGAACTGAATCCCTTTTATTATGGTAACACATACTCTCGTATTAAGACAAATAATATACACTGATTTCGTGGGGTTGCAAATATTTTATCCTTAATCGTGGGTTTGCAATTATCTGTAAATCACGTAGGAGGTGTGTAAATTTCCCAATTAAATTGGGATCAAAGCTTGTTGTTACTGGGCTCAATTAATCAATGGCCCATTATATGGGGCATTTATATGGATAAAGACTTTGGGCCATTTGATACGTGACAAGTATATCAAATTGGACTCTTTTGCCTTATAAATCCATGTCACGTTTGTTCAAGCCCAAATCAAAGATGTCATGACTCATTCATTTCAAGACACGTCATCTGTGAATAAGTTTCGAGTGGGCATTTGTAGATAAAGAAAATTTATGGCCAATCAAATGGTGCCACATGGAAATTAATTTATTAAAAACCAAGTCATGTTTTCTATTTATATTTTAGGAATTTCCACATATTTAATTCTAAATTTAAATAGTTAATTAATTGATATTTTAATTCATTGCCAATCAAATAATGTCAAGTATCATATCTTATTTCTTGGTACATAAATCATATTTTCTAGAATATCTTGAGAGATTTAAGTGGATCTAGAATATCTTATGTAAATCATCGTGGACCAATCAAGTAACGTCCTACGATTCTTGCATTTGGTAGGATTCTCTCTCTTACACATATAAATAGGGACTCTATCTAAAGAGAAAAACACACGTCATGTTTCATATTCAAATTCAAGAACTCTAGAGAGTTCTATCGACGAGATTCAAGTGTTCTTGAAAATTCAAATGTCTTTTGAAGATTCGAAGCAAGATTCAAGTGCGCTCAACATCAAGACTGGCGTTCAATCCGATAACAAGCTGCAAAGACTCCACATTACGTTAGTTAATTCAAAACCGATGTGGAGAAGATTCAATATCTACTTTGCGGCGAAGACCAAGGACGCGTGTTCTTTGCGTTCGGCGTTTGATCCGAAGTCAATGCCCTGTCCCTCGGATTAACGTTAATTCAAATCAAATCAAGTGAAGAGAAAGATAAAACTGAAGATTTCGCTCCAAAACTTAAAATTGTTCGTGAGAATAATCAGAGGAATAATAGAGATTATCCACTATATTATTTTGATTCGAAAAATTCATTTGTAAAATACTTTTTATGTTTACAAATTCAATACACGAAATTTATTGTTACACAGTCATAATAACTTGTTGAGTCAAAAATAATACCATTATTATCCTTATACTCAACTCTCACAAGTATTATCTATATAATTAAATAGTACAAATCCATTATCCTCACAAATCATATCAATTATAATTCACTAGTCATCCTCTCAAATTATTTTAACTATTCATCAATTCCCATCACATCTCTCATACTCTTACATCAAACCAACTTTAATCATTTATTTCAAATGTTATTTTGGTAGAAACTCAAAATTCCACTCCAATCTAACACAATCAATATTTTTCAAAATTTACTACGATTATCCAACAAATTCAATCAAAACCAAAATAACTTGTATCTAATCACTCTCTTAGGGTAACAAAATGAAACAGAGAGCATAGGTATAAGTAAAATTAATATTAAGTGGATTTATGGGTTAAATTCAGTTAATTTTGAATAAAGCTAATTGGGTAGAAGATTGAATGAAATATTGAATTTGTATTTAAATAATATCTAAATTGTAATTATTAAAGTTATTCATGACTACGGTTGGAACCGGCTCAAACAGTTGACTACAGTTCGTGAGCTGGCCTGACGTTTGGTCTGAGCCGGTCACGGTTCATGCTTAAAACAGATATTGAACCGTTGATTCTGGGTCGGACCGGAACCGCCGATTCAACGTCAATTTTTCTTATTATTTTTATATTTTAATTTTTTTTTTGTTGTCATATTCTCGGTTCAAAACCGAACCAGTCCTAACCGAAGGTCTTTTTTGAACCGGGACCGCCGATTCATTGAATAGCCCCGGACTTGTTCCAGTTCATGTTGGGTTCTGTTAGGAACGTCAAACAACATGCACAGTATTGAACTTTATCGAAATAAATCCTAACGCAGCGGAATCTATAGTTAGAATATGGACGTTTACCTTTTAAA